TAGGAGACTGAAGGTTGATGGCCACCCTCTTCTAGCCTGAAAGGTTTCAGCAGAGAGATCTGAAGTCATTATAATATTCTTCCCCTTGTAGGTTAAGGTTTTGTTACATCTAGCTGCTTTCAGAATTTTCTCCTTCATATTGACTTTAGTAAAGTTGATTATGATGTTCCTGTCTTGTTTGGGTTGAGTCGCACTGGGGTTCTGAAACTGTCTGCTATCTGAATTTCAGAATCTCTTGGCGTGTCTGGAAAGTTCTCTTTCATAATTTCATGAAAGAGAGACTCTATGTTTTTTGAAGCAACTTTGTCACCTTCAGGGATTCCTATAAAGCAAATATTAGTTTTCTTTGAATTATCCCAGAGGTCTCTGAGCGAGTGATCTGTTTTTGCTCTCCATTTTTCTTCATCTTTGAGTGTTTGGGTGCATTCAAAAGCTTTGTCTTCAGTGTCAGAGATCCTTTCTTCTGCCTGGTCCATTCTGTTACCGAGGTATTCTACCATATTTTTCAGATCTTTGAGGGCTGCAACATCTTGCTTCAGCGTTTCATAATCTTTGGTCATTTTATCTTTGAAATCATTAAATTCTTGAGACAGATTTTGAATAATTTGAAATTCTAATTCCCTCCTTTCCTCCATTCTGTTGATCTTATTTGCTATCCAGATTCTGAACTCAATTTCTGACATTTCAGCCATCTCTTTATGGAAGGGATCTTCAATTGCGTCTGCCCCATCCTTCCTTGGGGGAGTTGATCTACTCTGGTTGTTCTGGTTGCCAGAGTTTTTCCACTAATTCCGCCCCTTGCACCGTTTGAAGACTGTTCCTAAAGCATTCTACCAGTGGCTGCTACGGGGGATGATGCCGGCTTCCTCTGGTTGACCAGAGAGACAGGGCGTGTCTGCCCGGAAAAGCCTTAGGGGTGTGAGCCTTGTTGTTCCCGCTACTGCGGCTGCTGCTCTTCCCCTTGGTATATTGCCACTCCAGTGTGGTTCCTTCTCAACCATCCTCTCACAGTTCTCGGGCCACTGGGCCTGTAGTGCTGAACACAAGGCTTAATCCGTGTTTGGTGCCCGCTGGGGAGCCCCGCAGGGAGGGACCAACCAGAGGCAGCCGCACAAGACAGTGCGCTGGCTGGCTGGAGCAGTCCTTGCTGCCTGCCCCTGGCAGCCGGGGAGCCCCCATGGGGCAAGGGACCAACCGGCAGGCAGCCACAGGAGGGGACGTGCTGGCTGGCTGGATCAGACCTGGGTGGGCAGCGCCAGGCAGCCCCTGTGGGGGAGGCCAACCGGCAGGCAGTGGTGCGAGGGGGCAAGCTGGCTAGCTGGAGCAGTCCTGGGGGTGCTGGGCAGCCCCCGTGGGGCGGGGGACCAACCAGGAGGCAGCCACATGATGGGACAGCGGGCTGGAGCAGTCTGCATTTGTGCGGCTCAGGCAGTTTCTGGGCTGCAGGGCCAAGACAGGGACTTGGTCCTGCAAGGGTCCGGGGATGCTGCTCTTGGGTCTCCTCTCACTGTCTCTGCAGGCAAGGAGGAAGGGTGGACTGGAAATTCAAAATGGCCATGAGAGCGTTAGTTCTATTTTTCTGCCTGGGAGAGGGTGTTCGGAGTCTTAGCAGGGTCCCTCCAGGGGAGTAGACCCCACTCTAGCTCTCACCCATGGGGTGAGATAATAGGTCCTCAGATTATTACTTGCCTGTAGGAGACTTACAGGAGCAGACGAAGAGTAAACAAAGGAAAAGCACAACTTTCTCGGTGGAGGGGATGGAGACTTGTCCTTTGGGATGTACTATGTGCCTGTAGATTGCTTTCTAGGAGTCGCAGCTTGCCTCAGCAGTGGTGTCCTGCAGATAACACTCTTCTCCCTCAGCTGGGCTCCTAGTCTTCAACTTCATTAGGTGTTTTCTGGACTCTATTCTTCCCTCTGGTCAGGAGCTTCTGTCGGAGGCTGGTGCCTGTCAGCCATCTTGCCCCTCCCCCTAAAAAATTTGTTAATCAATTATTGAATTAATGGAATAGCTAAACATATCTAACATTAGAGGAAGAACTTGGGTTGATTTCTCTCTGAAATATTGTTAAATAATATTTGATCTGTACTTAATAAATAATTCTTTTCTCACTGGCTTTAAGTACCAAATATTCCTCCACCTCCAATTTTAAATTCATTCATTTATTACTACAAATGAGTGCCTACTAGGTGCAAAATGCTAAACCTAGGCCTTATAAGGGATGAAAGCATCAGGGAGACAATTTTTTTTTTTTTTTTTTTTGAGACAGAGCCTCAAGCTGTCCCCCTGGGTAGAGTGCCGTGGCATTACAGCTCACAGCAACCTCCATCTCCTGGGCTCAAGTGAGTCTCCCGCCTCAGCCTCCCAAGTAGCTGGGACCACAGGCGCCCGCCACAACGCCCGGCTATTTTTTGGTTGCAGCCGTCATTGTTGTTTGGCGGGTCCAGGCTGGAGATTCGAACCCGCCACCTTAGGTGTACATGGCTGGTGCCTTAGCCGGTTGAGCTATAGGCACCAAGCCAGGGAGACAATTTTTGAGATAAGAGAGGAGGAAAAAGCAGAGTGCTGTGCAGGCTCAGAAGAAAAAGCAATTAATCCTTCCAGGTATCAGGAAGGTGGGCATAGTTAAGGGAGTTCAGAGGACAGGGAAAAGTTTTCCAAAGGTTTAAAGTAGTGGACTTGAAGGATTTTCATACATACAGGAGAGGGCATATTAGTATTTCTGCTCAATATAATAATCTGAACAAAGGTATTCGGAATGATAAAAACGTCTGGTGTAACAGGTAGATAGAAGAGTTTACTAGGAAATGACCATGGCAGTGGCATCTGAAAGATGATGAAGGGCCTTAAATATCATCCCACCAAGCCTGGAATTTGTGTTTAATGGGGCATCATCAAGGCTTCCAAGAGGGAACTGGAATGATTTGACTTGGTTTTTAAAGGGTAGATGTGGCACCAGGGGGAAGGACAGAGTAGAAAGGCAAGAGAATTAAATAAAAAAGATGAATTGGGAAGCTATAATAGTAGGCAAGTCAAGAGATGGTAATAGTCATAATCATAACAGCCAGCATTTATTGAGGGATACCTTACTGTGTTATAGCCAGAGCTCTAAGCCCATGGCACTTGGGCTCTTAGACAGCTTTTATGAGGTAGATAGTACCATCATCCCCATTTTGCAAATGAGGTGATTGAGGCACAGCAAACCTCATTAAGTACTTATTCTGGGTCATGCAGCTAGTTAGCGCAGAGCCAGGACTCAGATTAGCAATTCCACCTTTAGGGTGTGTGCTCTTATCCACAATGCACAAACCCAGTCATAGTCATAGAAGATGAAAAGAGGGGACAGCTCTCAGTAATGGAATTGGTAGGATTTGGCTACCAATTTGATTGTATGTGAAAGAGAGGGATCAACAGTGACTCCAAAATTTCTAGTGTGGATGGTGGACATTCATGATGTCTTTAATTGAAGAAGAGGGTTTTAGAGGTTGAGGCTGAGCTGACACACTCTATAGGTTTGAAGTCAATAAGCTCTTCATTTGGGGATATTTGGCATGAGTTTGAAAATACATATATCCAGTTCAAGGCTTAATGATAGAATTCTGATCTTAAATCATGGAAGCTAATGAAACAGCTCAAGAAACCAGAATAGAAGCAAACCTAACTGCTCAATGGGGCCAAAGACATGCCCTCAATGTGTAAATTAGATGGCACTGAGAGGGGCAGAGCCTGTGGCTGGGTGAATGCACATCCTGCCCAAATGTTCCACTTTTTACCATATCTGATAGGCCAGAGGGTGGGATGGAAGAAGCCTTGAATAGAACACTACTCTACCTTTCACTGAAGTAGACAGAGGAAGATGGGGCAATAAAGAAAACTGAGATGGGCCAGAGTAACGAGAGAACAATGAGTCATCCGCCCCAGAAAGCCCTTTCGGAAGGCAGGCTGGGTGAGGTGTAGCCTGTTACAAAAATGTGAATGGGTGAGGTCCCCACATGTTTGCCAATCAGTTGGTGATCCCTGAAAGAGTTTCTTCTTTGGAATGGAGAGCAAAGAGGTTAGGGAAGAAACTGAGGTAAGAAAATAAAGTTAGTAAGTGGTGAACTATTTTTAGGAAGTTTGCAGTAGATAAAAGAGATCAGGTTCTTATCTGAAGACAGTGGATCTTAAGAGCTCAATAAAAGGAACCATAAGAGACACAATAAGATAAAAAGAGGTCACTGATAGTAGATGGCCTGATAGGAGGAATAGTCCCAAAATCACAGATGGAAAAGGGTTACATTTTGTTCCTACACCCCTGTCAGGAAAGAAACAGTGAGACAATGATGTGATTCAGGATAAGAATGCTGAGCTTAAGTGCATTAATGTACATAGTTACCATTCAATAAAAAAAAAAAAAAAAGAATGCTGAGCTTGAGCTAGGGTCTGATGTCCTTGGTCTTGTTAAGTAAGAGGATAGGTCTTCTGCTAATCACCCAGGGAAAGGACTGATATCAGGGCCTGAGGAAGTGGCACCTGCACTATGTCCTGTGAGGACTGAGAGAGTCCTCAGTCCTCTCAGGAATCTGGAAGGAATCCAAGATGGACTTCAGCCTAACACACCTTGGAGGGGTGGTGGACACTCAAAATCCTTTTCCCGCAGATGCAAATAACACAGAGGCCTGAGTTTACGCAGTATTAGGAGTGGATAACCCAGCTGCAGTAGGCATGTGAGAGGTCAGAACATACGGATGCTGACGAGAGGGGTAAAGAAGGCCCTCCCTGGGGACCACCCCAGCTGGGAAAGAAGGACAAGCCAAACTGGGCTGGTTTGAATCTTCCAGGAGCATCCTTCATCCAGTCATCAAAAATGTCCCCATCACTTAGGTTTAAAGGTCACTTTAAATTTGCATGTAAAGATTTAGTAAAGGCAAGTCTATTATGTGATATCTTAATTGGGAAGGTAAAAGATTCTTTAAGCTTATCAATGAACACTGTGATGTTGATTTCTTTTTGCTTTCAGAGGTGGGCAAAGACATTTTGCAAATATCCACAGTGTCTCTTTTGGGCTCAGAAATCGTGGAAGTGCTGGTGCTTTCCCCAGTTCCAGAAACAGGAAGAAGTAGGCTGGAAATATTCAGTCTGCCTCAGGCACTAGTACAAGGTAAAGGAAAAACAAGAAACCAATTCTATCCTGGGCCCAGATAAGTCATTGCTATAGCTTTATTTTGTTTGTTTTTAATACTAGCATGTAAAGAAGTAAAATGGCTACCTTTTATCCATCTTCACAAAGTAAAACTGATATGGCTGCTAAACAATTTATAATGTGAATTCCATGAATCTGCTTTATTACCCAAAGAAAAAGAAAGGATTAACTGACATTTATGTCAAGTTGGTTTGTCATTTTGTGATGTCTCCTGTTTTGTAGCTTTAAATATACACAGTCAAGTTTAGACAGGTTACAGTAGAGCTACCTCCTGTGGGAGAACAAATTCCAGTTGTCTTTTATGAAATAATATTCACTGTTTCTTTCTATGTTAATCAATGATTGCGAAGAAATGTGTAATCACTGCAATTCTTATTCTTTTTACCTTGTACTTATTTATTTGCTACACGACTGTGACTGAGATAAAGTAAAACATCATGAGCCATAAATTATATCTGTGGGAAACATGTAACAAAGGCATTCCAATATATGCATAGGGAGCAGGATCTCCAGGGCAAAAGTTACTGACCTGTGACATTAGTTAGGCACACGTAACTGTAACAAGTTAGTCACATGCACAGTGGGGAATAGGGTACACCGTCAACAACAAGAGTTGCTACCAAATGCACAACAAATAAATCACTCATTTAGCAGAAATAGCTAAGGCAGATACTAATCAGACCAATAAACAGCAGATGTCAAACTACGTGTCCCCCACATTAAGATAATGTAACCCAGAAAAACATCTGTGCATCCTGCCGAACATTGTGACGTTTATGGTAACTTTTCCCTTATATTTCTTTGTTTGAATCTTGATAAATACTCGTTGGAACCTGGAAGCAGGGCTGTGCTGCCTTACTCTGACAGTATATGGCCTCCCAGCACCCTCAATTGTACAGCTGTATTATCCCAAGCATTTCCTGTCTTCACTCTGTGGCATTCCCAGAAAGCTAGAGGCTCCACCCCACTAAGGATTGCCTCAACTTCTAGTGATAAATCATAAAGAAAGATTTCTGTATAAAAAGGTAGGAGAAAATAGACAAATCCACAGTGTCTCTTTTGGACACCGGAATAATGGAAGTGACGGTGTTTTACCCATTTCCAGAAACAGAAAGAAGTAGTATTTTTAATGACAAATATATCTGGGTAACAATTTTGCAAATTTTATCCCTATAGAATAGAAGAAACCTGAAAGCCTCAAAGTACTTTTATGTTTTAATTAAGAATCTCTATACCATAAAGAGTTTTTTTTTTTGGTTACACATAAAACTTTTTTTTTTAAGTCATATACACATAGATCTTGAATACATTTATGCATATGTGAGGTACAATGTATTGATTTTATTACACAATTTTACATGCTTACATCAAACTAATTAATAAGCTTTCACCTCATTTAATCGATTACTCTGTTAAGACATTTATGTTCTACACTTGGTAGATTTGATTTGTACCCTTGCAATATGCTCCATAGGTGTGGTCACACCATTTACCCTCCCTCTATCAAACCTCCCGCTTCCCCTCCCTTCCCACTGTATTTATCTCCTTCATTCTTATAAAACTTTTTTTTTTTTTTTTTTGAGACAGAGCCTCAAGCTGTCCCCCTGGGTAGAGTGCCGTGGCATCACAGCTCACAGCAACCTCCAACTCCTGGGCTCAAGCGAGTCTCCTGCCCCAGCCTCCCAAGCAGCTGGGACCACAGGCGCCCGACACAACGCCTGGCTATTTTTTGGTTGCAGCTGTCATTGTTGTTTGGTGGGTCCGGGCTGGGGATTCGAACCCGCCACCTTAGGTGTACGTGGCTGGCGCCTTAGCCGCTTGAGCCACAGGCGCCGAGCCTATAAAACTTTTTAATAACAGAACTTTAAGAAGTACCACAAAATATTCTTATATTTGCAGTCAACCAAAGGCAGAGAGAAAGAGATTATATCAAGGAAAGTTAAGCAAGAAAGAGTAAATTTTAATGACTCAATAATAAATGGAAATTGTGTACACACAGAGGAACTGACAAAGCCTTCTTAGATGTTCAGTGTAGCCATTTCTTGGCAATTCATTTATTAACTTAGGGTAAAACAATAACCTTAAATTTCTCAAAAGGCCATAATTATGTCTCTCTAGGACATTTCATATGGTTATTAGCAAAACACTATATGAGTGTTCAAAAGTAATTGTAACCATTATCTTCATCACCAATATACTATAGCTATATATTATTACAGAGTTCTTTACAATTCACCAAGTCCTTTCACATGTATTCAACCGAGCACTTCATAAAATTATAAGCAGCTATTACATTATATGTTCTTTTGCATATGTTTTCTGTGCTACTTAGGACAACTTTTAAAGCAAGTAGAGTATACTAATTCATATTCGCAGATGAGGAAATTTGAAACATATAGAAACTGTAACTTTTTTTTTTTGAGACAGAGTCTCAAGCTGTTGCCCTGGGTAGAGTGCCATAGTGTCATAGCTCACAGCAACCTCCAGCTCTGCTCAAGTGATCCTCTTGCCTCAGTTTTTGTTTTTATTTTTCATTTTTATTAGAGATGGGGTGTCGTTTTTGCTCAGGCTGGTCTCAAACTCCTGAGCTCAAGCAATCCACTTGCCTCGGCCTCCCGGAGTGCTTCTAGGATTACAGGCATGAGCCTCCACACCCAGCAGAAACTGTAACTTCCTTTTTTTTTTTTTTTAATTAAATCATAGCTGTGTACATTAATGCAATCGTAACTTTCTAATACTATATGGACAGTTAGTGGAAGAGCTAGAACTAAGGATCTGTAATCCCCAATCAGTCCTTGTCCTCTACAACACTAACTTGAGTTATGCGGTTTTTTTTTAAGAGTTCAACTTTTTATTGAACATGTTATAAAAGAGATTTAGTCAAAAAGACCAAAAGCCCATGCCATCGTCAGATTCCTCAGCTTCTTTCTTTGTTTCCACTTTGTTCTCCTCAAGTGGGGCAGTAGCAGGGAAGGGGACCTCCTGCTGGTGCAGCACCAGCTGATGGAGCTGCCTCACAAGACTCTTATATTGCAGATGAGGCTCCAACTGTTGACATTAGCCAGGGCCTTTACAAACAAGCCAGGCCAAAAAGGTTCAATATTTACACCAGCTGCTTTCATGATGACATTGACCTTATCCTCCATGACTATCACATCATCATCCTGTAGAATGACGGCTGAGTAGATACACACGAGCTTGGAGATGGAGGCCCTGGTACAGGCAAGTATTGCGATGGTCCTGCCCGGTGTGGTGCTAGTGCTCAACAAAGCGAGGGCTTCACCTCAATACAATCGTAGCTTCCTCAGAAGAACTAGGCACCATTAGATGGATGAAATAGGCAGGGTCAGAGAAGTTTCCTGTTTTCTTTCGTCTGGTTGGAAGAAGGGTCCATTTAGCTGGGTCTGATGTGATATACTTCAGTCCCCCAAAGGGGCTTCTCCCCCATCCTGGGTTTGGCACCAAATGAAAGGTTATGGAGCCAAAGATGAAAAATTATTCTGAGGCGAGACAAAGAAAAATGGAGGCCTGATTTGTGCAGTTAAACTGGGAAGAAATCCACACCATAATGAGTTTTTTTAATGATATGTCTATAAGTTAATTGACAAAGTTAACTAAGGCCTTATAAAAGATAAATTACTCACTATCAGACATTAAATATTCAAATATTTGTGTGGAAACAAGTTATTTTTAAATCATTAAATCATTTTTATCACCTAATAGTCTCTGCAATATGAATTGAGCATTTAAATTTTTTATTTTCATAATTGCTTATAATGATTTTATAAAATAAGAATATATGGCTCAGAGCCCATAGCTCAGTGGTTAGGGCACCAGCCACATACACCAAGGCTGCCAGGCTCAAACCCCGCCCGGGCCTGCTAAACAATGATAACTGCAGCAAAAAAATAGCTGGATGTTGTGTGGGGGGAGGTGCCTGTAGTCCCAGCTACTTGGAAGACAGAGGCAAGAGAATCACTTACGCCCAAGAGTTTGAGGTTGCTGTGAGCTGTGATGCTACTGCACTCTACTGAGGGCAACATAGTGAAACTCTGTCTAAAAAATATATGTCTGTGTGTGTGTGTGTGTGTGTATGATGCAAGTGATCTCTCTTCTTTTTCAGGTCTTATACCTTCTGCAACCTTTGCTGATGAACGAGGGAGGTTGAACGATGAGCTCATTCATAAGTACTTGTATGAAGTGGAACATACTCTATACTCTGCTGTCTTGGACTTTCAAAGTAACCAAATACATGGCTTCTGTGACCAAGTGCCATACATCTGTAGCTACTTTATCCCTGAAGAAGTGAGTTATAACTTAAGTGAGCTCTCATTTATGTCAGCAATGAAGATTGCCACATTGTACTAATTAGATATGATTCTCTTTGACAACTTTAACAGAATTGTCCAGTTAAAAACAAATGGCTTTATTATATTAACATAATACCCTTGAGTTAGATAATTAGTGTTAATTATTAATTCATCATAAAATATATTTGAGCAATCTCACACATGTGCCACATTCATCATACTTGTCAGATAAACATGCACATAATACTAGTTTATTGCCTTAAAAAAATCAAGTTTTAGAAAATCTATTCTATAGATTCCAGGAGCTACAGGGCAAATGATTTTCAGTGGAACTTTGCACCTGAGCCCTAAAAAAAATTGGACAAAATAATAAAACTATGTTTCTAGCATCTCTGCATTGCTCTGTCTTCTAGCTCCTCCTGCATTGTGTGACCTCCTGCTGCACATACCAGCCCAGTACCCTCCTGCTTGCTGCCCTTTGGCCATTCAGTTTCCTGCTGATGCTTGCCTTCCTGACCCAATAGTATCTACCTCCATTCTTCTCTAAATTCTTCAGTCAAAGCCCTTCTCTCCCAGAGTAGCTGGGGGTGATACCATAGAAATCCTGAGAAGGAAAAAATGGTTTGTGGCAAGGGGAGATTCAAAAAAAGGTTCATGGACAAAGCAATATTGGAACTGAATTTTGAAGAATAGGTCAGATTTAGACCTGGAGAAATATTGTGTGCAATCTTGCTGAGGGTGGACAGTGCTGATCTAGGGAAGTGGGGTAGACTAGTAGGGATGGAGCAGACAAGGGACTTCCAGACAAGAGGAAGGACATGCACAGAGGCCTGGTGGTGGGAATGCATGAGTCACACACGGGAAATATTGATGGCTTTATTTTATTTTATTTATTTATTTCTGAGATAGTGTCTTGCTCTGTCATGCCTAGTACGGTGCAGTGGTGTCATCATAGCTCACAGCAACCTCAAGCTACTGGACTCAAGTGATTCTTCCGCCTCTGCCTCCCAAATAGCTGGAACCATAAGCACACCCACCATGCCCAGCTAATTTTTTTATTTTTTGTAGAAAAAAACAGGGTCTCTCTCTTACTCAGGCTGGTCTCAAATTCCTGGCCTCAAGCAGTCCTTCCTCCTCGGCCTCCCAAAATGCTAGGATTATAGGCATGAGCCACTACACCCAGCCTGCCTTATTTTGACTTGAGTATTGGAACATATGAAAATGATTAGAAAAAATAGATTGTCAGCATAGGCTGGGACCTTTAATGGCTGGCTAACATATAAAGAAGACTTTCCTTTGGCAAAAACAAACTTGTATTTCCAAACAAAGTTGGGGAACATGGTGCAAATGCAGGTACCCACTTTATCCTGCAGCAGTTTATTCCCAATGATAATGTTCACAGATTTGAAGCGGACCATATGCAAACCTATGATGCTACTCACTGATGTTTTCTACAATGTGCTCTTTCTCTTTGATTGGCAGGGCCATAGCGGTGTTCAAATTCTTAAACCATACAAAAAAGTGCAAAGCAGACAGTATGGACATGGAACGCTCTATCTATCTTCACATGGATTATGGCTCGCTTCAATAGCTAAATGTGGAATTCTGTGCATCCGAGATGTTTTTACTTTGGTAAACTCCTTTATTAAAAAAAAAGATTATGGGATATGTATATACATATACATATACATATAGATATAGATAGATAGAAAGAAAGAGTGAGAGATATCTTATTATATAAGGAACAAAATCTCTTAGGAAAGGAATTTTTAAGTAAATTGACGGAACTTTTTACCACTAATGGTATTAATGACTTTACCATTTTTACTGGTGTTTCTGTGTTTGAATCTCTAAGGGAGGAAACTCCAACCAGTAGGATGCAAATGAAAAGCAATGGGCCGGGCAGCAGGGTTGAGCACCAGAGCAGCTCCATCATCAGCTAGGTTTGTGTCTTGGAACCTAGCTCAGCTTCACTGAGCTTCAGGTGCTCACCTGTGAAATTAGGGAAGCTCTCATCCTAGGGGATTCTGGTGAGAGGGCCTATGCAAAACTGCTTTGGAAATAGTGAATGTGCAACCTCCAGGCCTCTGGGTTGGTTGCTGCTGCCTCACCTGACACTTCCTCAATGCTTCAGGAGCAGAAGGTTGTGGCCCTACCGCGTCCTCCTCTATTACTTGCAAGCCTCAATGTCACCATTGTGCTATCATTTCCGACTTTTGTTGTCTTCACACCCCTGAGAAAGTGAAAATAGTTGCTTCTCCCAAAAAGGTGTGGAATCCTTTTCTAGGTTCTGAACTGAGATATACTAGTCAACAGTTGAATTTAGTGGGCCCAGTGATTCTTTCCCAGTGTTCTACTCCCACACACCTGAAGCATGGCAGTCACCCACATGTCCCCCACCCCACCCATATATACTCTAAGCCCCTGGTTGTGCACACCCAGCTCCTTTTGGCTTGCCTCTAGAACTGTGGTTCTCAACCTTCCTAATGCTGCAACCCTTTAATATAGTTCCTCATGTTGTGTTGACCCCCAACTGTAAAATTGTTCTCATACATCTGTATTTGTTTGGGGTACATATGATGGTTTTAGGTGACCCCTGTGAAAGGGTCGTTCCACCCCCAAAGGGGTGACAACCTGTAGGTTGAAAACCGCTGCTCTAGAAGAAAGCAATGTAACTTGGAATATAACTGGGAGAAGAGTGATAATGCTACGTAAAGAGTTTTGAATCCCTTAGAGATTATTTTTAAGAGAATGATTTGCTAACTCTGCTGTTCTGTCTATTCAATCAGTTGTAATTCATAGTAACACCTGATAGTGGCAAGACAGGCAGGACCTCAGAGATATTCTGGATGGTTTTATTACCTATACTCACATGAGAAGTACTTCATATATTAGGTTATGCATGGCAGCACTGTTTGCAAAAGCAACCTCATATCCATCAACAGAGGACTGGGTAAATAAATAATAGTGCATAATTAATATATAAATAAGTATGAATATTATCCAGCAGCTGTAATACAGAATGAGGAAATCTTTATGTAACAATATATGATGAACGTCTAGATATATTGATTGTTAAGGGGGAAAGCAAGGTGTAACATATGTATTATGTTATGATTTATGTTAAGAAAAATTTATGTTTACATAAAAATTTATATATCCATAAAAACTTTGAAAAGATAGTGAAAGTACCAAGTACATCAATTGCAAATGAGTGATGTTGAGGCATGGGGACAGGAAGGAGATTTTACAACATACTCTTTTATAGTTTTTGAATTTTGAACTACTCAAATGTATCAACTATTCAAAAAATTAAATGAAAAAAAGTGGTTGAGAACCAGTATGACACAGAAATCCCAGTTTTGGTCAAGGAGTTTATACTGTTTCCCTGCGTACCACCAAATCAGTGATATGTTTGTGTTCTTTTTTTTAAATTAAATCATAGCTGTGTACATTACTGCAATCATGGGGTGCAATGTGCTGCTTTTACAAACAATTTGAAATGCTTTGATCAAACTGGTCAACATAGCCTTCACGGCATTTTCTTAGTTATTGTGTTAAGCTGTTTATATTCTACACCTAGTAAATTTCACATGTACCCTTGTAAGATGCACCGTAGGTGTGGTCCCACCAAGTACCCTCCCTCCACCCATCCTCCCCCCTCCCCTCCCCTCTCACTCCCCTTTCCCCTTTTTCTTGGGCTATAATTGGCTTATAGCTTTCATAAGAAAGCTATAAATTGGTTTCATAGTAAGACTGAGTACATTGGATACTTTTTCTTCTATTCTTGGGATACTTTGCTAAGAGAATATGTTCCAGCTCCATCCATGTAAACATGTAAGAGGTAAAGTCGCCATCTTTCTTTAAGGCTGCATAATATTCTATGGTGTACATATACCACAATTTATTGATCTATTCATGGGTCGATGGGCACTTGGGCTTCTTTCATGACTTAGCAATTATTAATTGGGCTGTAATAACATTCTGGTACGTAATGTGATTTTTGGTCTTCTGGATATATATCTAGTAGAGGAATTATAGGATCAAATGGCAGGTCTATTTTTATATCTCTAAGTGTTCTCCAAACATCTTTCCAAAAGGAATGTATTAGCTTGCATTCCCATCAGCAATGTAAAATGTTCCCTTTTCTCCACACCCACACCAACATCTCTGGTTTTGGAATTTTGTGATGTGGACTAATCTTACTGCAGTTAGATGATATCTCAAAGTAGTTTTGATTTGCATTTCTCTGATAATTAAGGATGATGAGCATTTTTTCATGTGTCTGTAGGCCATATGCCTGTCTTCAGAGAAGTTTCTCTTCAAGTCCCTTGCCCACCCTGGATGGGATCACTTGTTCTTTTCTTGCTAATATGTTTGAGTTCTCTGTGGATTCTGGTTATTAAACCTTTGTCACAGACATAACCAGAAAATATCTTCTCCCATTCTGAGGGCTGTCTGCTTGTGTGTTCTAGTGTTTTAGTTTGATCAGGTCCCAGTAATGTATTTTTGATATTGCTTCAATTGCCTGGGGGGTCCTCCTCATAAAATATTTGCCCAGGCTGATTTCTTCAAGAGTTTTCCCTGCACTTTCTTCTAGTATTTTTATAGTTTCATGTCGTAAGTTTAAATCTTTCATCCAGTAAGAGTCTATCTTAGTCAACGGTGAGAGGTGTGGGTCCAGTTTCAGTCTTCTACAGGTCGCCAGCCAGTTCACCCAGCACCATTTGTTAAATAGGGAATCTTTTCCCCACTGAATGTTTTTAATTGGCTTGTCAAAGATCAAATAACAGTAAGTAGCGGGTTTCATCTCTTGGTTCTCTATTTTGTTCCATATATCTACCTCTATGTTTTTGTGCCAGTACCATGCAGTTTTGATCACTATTGATTTATAGTATAGTCTGATGTCTGGTAGCGTGATTCCTCCTGCATTATTTTTATTTCTGAGTAATGTCTTGGCTATTCAAGGTTTTTTCTGATTCTATATAAAACGAAGTATTATTTTTTTGAGATTTTTAAAGTATGACAGTGGAGCTTTAATAGAGATTGCATTAAAATTGTATATTGCTTTGGGTAGTATGGACATTTTAACAATGTTGATTCTTCCTAGCCATGAGCATGGTATATTTTTCCATTTGTTAACATTTTTAGCTATTTCTTTTCTTAGAGTTTCATAGTTCTCTTTATAGAGATCTTTCAAGTCCTTTGTTAGGTAAACTCCCAAATATTTCATCTTCTTTGGCACTACTGTGAATGGAATAGAGTCCTTGACTATTTTTTCAGCTTGACTATTGTTGGTATATATAAAGGCTATAGATTTATGAGTGTTGGTTTTGTAACCTGAGACGTTGGTGTATTCCTTGATCACTTCTAAGAGTTTTGTAGTAGAATCCCTGGTGTTTTCCAGATATACAATCATATCATCTGCAAAGAGTGAAAGTTTGATCTCTTCTGACTCTATGTGGATACCCTTGATTGCCTTTTCTTGCCTAATTGTGTTGGCTAAGACTTCCATTACAAGGTTAAAAAGCAGTGGGGACAATGGGCAACCTTGCCTGGTTCCTGATCTGAGTGGATGATTTCAATTTAACTTCATCTAATACAATGTTGGCTGTGGGTTTGCTATAGATGGCCTCTATTGGTTTAAGAAATGTCCCTTCTATACCAATATTCTTAAGTGTTCTGATCATGAAGGGATGCTGGATATTATCAAAAAAGCTTTTTCTGCATCAATTGAAAGAATCATATGGTCTTTGTTTTTTAATTTGTTTATGTGATGAATTATATTTATACATTTATGTATATTGAACCAGTCTTGAGATCCTGGGATAAAACCCACTTGGTCATGGTGTACAATTTGTTTGATGTGTTGCTGGATTCTGTTGGTTAGGATCTTGTTGAATATTTTCACATCAATATTCATTAGTGATATTAGTCTATACTTTTCTTTTCTGGTTGAGTCTTTTCCTTGTTTGGGGATCAAGGTGATGTTTGCTTCATAGAATATGTTGGGTTGTATTCCTTCTTTTTCCATATTTTGGAAAAGGTTGAGTAATATAGGTACTAGTTCCTCTTTAAAGGTTTGGTAGAATTCTGATGTGAAGCCATCTGGTCCCAGGCTTTTCTTTTTACGGAGATTTTGTATAGTTGATACTATTTCAGAATTTGATATAGGCCTGTTCAACATTTCCACTTGATTCTGGCTACGTCTTGGGGACAGTGGTATGCTTCCAAGTATTGGTCAGTTTCTTTCAGATTTTCATATTTCTAAGAATAGAGTTTCTTGTAATATTCGTTAAGGATTTTTTGAATTTCTGAGGAGTCTGTGTTATTTCATCATTACCATTTCTGGTTATTTCATCATTACTATTTCTGATTGACGAAATTAGAGATTTTACTCTTTTTTTACCTGGTTAGCTTAGCCAAAGGTTTATCTATTTTATTGACCTTTTCAAAAAACCAACTTTTTGATTTATTGATCTGTTGTATAATTCTTTTGTTTTCAATTTTATTTAATTCTGCTCTAATTTTGGTTATTTCTTTTCTTCTTCTGGGGTTGGGATTGGAATGTTCTTCCTTTTCCAGTTGCTTGAAATGTCCCATTAAGTTGTTAATGTCCTCTCTTTCCATTCTCTTAAGGAAGGCTGACAGTGCTATAAATTTCCCTCTTAGGACTACCTTTGCGGTATCCTAAAGGTTCTGATAATTTTTGTCTTCATTATCGTTTTGTTCCAAAAATTTGGTAATTTCCTTCTTAATCTTGTCTCTGACCCAGCTATCATTCAGCAAAAGGTTATTTAGCTTCCATGTTTTTATATGAGTCTGCAGATTCCTGTTGTTACTGAGTTCAACTTTTATTCCATGATGGTCTGAGAAGATGCAAGGAATAATTTCTATTCTTTTAAATTTGCTAAGGTTAGACTTGTGACCTAAGATGTGATCAATTTTGGAGTATGTTTCATGGGCTGATGAGAAGAATGTGTATTCAGTGTTGTTAGGATGAGTGTATTCAGTGTTGTTAGGATGAAATGTTCTGTAGATGTCTGTTAAATACAAATGTTGAATAGTTAAGTTTAAATCTAAAATTTCTTTGCTTAGTTTCTTATTGGAGGCTCTATCCAATGCTGCCAAAGGAGTGCTAAAATCTCCAACAATTAAGTGATGTGTCTGTGTTCTAATTAAACTGGTCTGCTCAGCAACCTCAGGGCAGGTTATCTTCCATTCTTCACCACCCTCTCTCATCACACTCATAAATGGCCCCTGCCTGATTCTTGAAGGCATCTAAATTTGCCATCTCTGCTTATTCAAGGCATCTTCCCTTGCTCCGTAGGTTCCTGCAATCCATTCACTTCTCTGTGTCCAGTTTCCTATTATAAACTGGTGATAATAATCCCTCTCCATCCTTACTGCACAAAGACAGTCACAGATAAGGTGAATATTGTTTGAACTAGGAATTTAAAATACTATTTATTACCAAGAGGCTACTTCCATACCAACTAAAATACTGTTAGCAAATAGAAAGGTTTATCCACAAGGTAACCCCCCAATAGAAAACCCACATAGTAAAATCGCTTTTTTAATTTCTTCACTTTGCTCCTAAAACTATTGAGGAAACATTTGCTCGGTGTCGGAGTAATTCTCACCAGGGACATGGGATTCAGTCAGTAAGAATTTCAATGGATGGACGAAACATTCTGGTGAATGGGAGAGATGACGGCACCCTTGTCTACCTAAAATGGAAGTAAGTACAGTGTGCAGTAAGTAACCCCATGTGGTATGGTGTTTTAAAATACAGATCTTGGGCTGGGCATGGTAGCTCACACCTGTAATCCTAGGACTCTGGGAGGCTGAGGTGGAAGGACCACTTGAGACCAGGAGTTCGAGATGAGATTGAGCAATAGGCTATTTTCTATTCTCTACCAATAATAGAAAAAATTAGTCAGGTATGGTGGCATGGGGACCTGTAGTCCCAACTACTTGGAAGCAAGACTCTGTCTGAAAATAATAATAATAAATAAAATATAGATTTTATTATTTATTTATTACCATAGATTTATTACTGCTCAAGGAATGAGGAAGCACCATGAGGGTCAGGGGGCTGGGAGAGTGGGGAAAACAAGGACAGGGGTCTTCAGTATGGTAAGGATTCACAGGTTTAGGATTGGCTAGTGAAAGGTATAAATGATGGCAGCCTTATCTCTGGGAGCCATTGTTTAAACCTTTCAGCTAGTTTGTATAGTAGTAGTGGGTTCTGGGGCATAGTGCTGCCCCAGACATCTGGTACATGATCCAGGGGTGATCAGGGCAGGAAAATAGTGGCCTTGATTGTGAAAGCCCACTAGATGAGGCACTGGGGTATGGTCTCTGAATTGATTGTTTTGCATCTGAAAAGCACACTACTTCATAAGGGTAGTCTCCTCCCTTCATTAGCAAGACCCCAGATATTAAATCATCAAATATATATACATATATGTACATATATGTTTTTATATATGCATAGTTTATATATATATGTACAGTTTTATATATGCATAGTTATATATATATATATATATGTACAGATAGTATATATGAGAATGATCAGTCAGACCTACCTTCTATAACACATTGGAAGAACATAAGGAATGAGGACAATTCTGAACATTAGATAACTTTAAAAACTCCTATTTATCCCTAAAGAACTCTCATACATGTATAAATGCATGTATACCACATGTTTGCTTTCCTAATTAGATTTTTCCTAGATGATACTAAGTTATTCCAACTTTGCTTAGTCTACAATGAAAATTCTAAATAAGCAAATACTACCCAATCATGCAGATGATGAGCGGGGCTTGAAACATGGAAAAGGTGTGCTGAACTTTCAATGTTGCCTTCTTGATTGACCTGCCGATGGATATTACTAGTCAACTTGTGATTCATTTCAGCAAAAACAATATTTCATGGTGCCTCCTGTGACCAAAACAGTAGTGAAACATAGTAGTAGTTTTACATATTAGTAATAGTATGTAAACAGTAAAACACAATTATTTCTCAGCAACATTGTGAAAGATATTAAATATTGTGGAGATTTACTACCACAACAATTTTGGTAGCCACTTATTTCAAAGACATGTTTGAAGACTGCATCATTATGCCCATTTTATACATGGAACTCTGAATAAGATAGTGACTTGTATCTCACCATACAAATCCTAACATATCCTTGGTAGAAGGATATATGAAGAAATAGTGTCTAAGGCAACAACAGACTAGTGCTGAAGCCTTGTCTATGACATTCTGATCTATCCATAATCACCTAGACTTCTGACTCAAAACAAAACATGGTTTGAAACCTTGGTCCATCACAAAAATCCCAAAGCAGATGTTGGCATGGATGCAGAGAGAAAGGAACTCTTCTATATTGCTGATGGGAATGCAAGCTTTTAGGAAAGAAGTTTGGAGAATACTCAAGGAACTAAAAGTAGACCTACCATTCCATCCTGCAGTTCTTCTACTAGGCATATACCCAGATGATCAAAAATTATTTCATAATAAAGACATTTGCACCAGAATATTTATTGAAGCCCAATTCATAATTGCCAAGACATGGAAACAGCCCAAGTGCCCATCAACTCATGATAGATTAACAAATTGTATATGTACACTATGGAATACTATGCAGCCATAAAAAGATGGAGACTTCACATCTTTTTATGTTTATCTGGATAGAGCTGGAATATATTTTTCTTAGTAAAGTATCTCAAGAATGGAAAAAAAGTATCCAATGTACTTAATACTACTATGAAATCAATATATAATCTACCTACACATTAATATGAATTGTAAAACATAACTATAGTCCAGAAAGTAGAAGGGAAGAGGAGAGGGGGAGGGAAGAGGTAAGGAGGGAGGGTATTTGGGGGGACCTCACCTAATGTATATGATGCAATGGTACATTTCAAAACTATTAATAAAGAGTTTAATTGTGATGGACATGTTATTTCAATGTAGGCATTTCACATTGCATATCAAATCAGTACACTGAACCCTATAACTGCATCAATGTACACAGTTATGATTTAATAAAAACAAGGTATACAATTCAGTTTTTTAAGACTAAAAAAAAAAAAAAGAAAGATTGGTTCAGGACTTGTGAGCTTGTGACCTTAGGAATGTGACAACTCTTTTTTTAAATTAAATCATAACTGTGTACATAGGGTACAGAGTGCTGTTTCTATATACAATTTGAACTACTTTCATCCAACTGGTTAACACAGCCTTCATGTCATTTTCTTAGTTATTGTGTTAAGACATTTATATTCTACATTTAGAAAGATTCACATGTACCCTTATAGGATGAACCATAGTGGGTGACAACCCTTTTATTCATCTATAACAGTTACTCAGGTGAGGGCCTGTTAGAAATGCATATTCTTGGGGCCCTTCCAGACTTTCTGAATTAGAAAGTCTGTGGAGAATTGTCCACATTTGTCTTTGTGTATCTGGAAATGACACTGCTAAAGATGATTTTTATTCATTGTGATTCTTTAACTTACATGTTTTCTTTTTTATTAATATAGGCATTTTGAAGGACCATTAGCTTGTGGCATTCTTGAACATTGCGGGAGACTATTACTTTATTTGGGCAATATCATGGAGGAGGAGAATGATCATTTACGTACACCATCAAAGGTTTCCTTAGATGTGGGACCCGAATGTGAAGACACAGTTGAGTTCCAATATGGCTGGCTAGCTAGCTTGCTTTTTCTTTCTAAATTCATATAAAATTTTTCAATTTGTGCTCTTCTTTAAGCAGATATTTAGTAATATTTCTCTTTATCCAGGTATCTCATGATTCTTCAAAGAGTATAAGCTACATCTGAGAGAAAACATTCAGCTTTTCTCAAAGCAACGGCAAATATTGCATCTCAGTTCTCATTTAAACCATATTATGAGATCTGGGCTTGCCTGGAAAAAAATAAATCTGCCGACACTGGTGCTTGGCCAAACCACTCTCTCTATACTTTGATATAACATACATCATTTAGGAAGTGTCTAGCTAGAGTATAACTTCATTCTTTCATTTAACAAATATTTATTCATGTCTATAAAGTGCTGGACTGTGGTGGATATGGCCATAAACAAGACAGAGAAAGTTTCTGCATTTGTGGCATTTATATTCCAAGGGTGATGGGGTGGGCAGGGAGAGACATATAGTAAGAAAATAAATAAGAAACAATTAGATAATAACAAGTTCTCTTTGGTGAATAGGAATAGTTGATGTGATAGTGTTTGAGTGAACAGCCTTTCCAAGGAAAAGACATTTAAGCTGAGATCTGAATTAAAAGAGGACACTATGGTGAAAAAGGAGGCGGGAGCAGGAACCCTCAGGCCAGAGGGGGAAAGAGCTTGGCAAGTGATGTGTAAGGGCCTAGAAAGGGCCTGAGCAGTCCCATGAGCAGGGAAGGAAGTAGCAGAAGGTGAGGTCCTCAAAGTGGGAAGAGTCCAGGTAATAAAAGGCTTTGCAAGCCAGGAAAAGAGTTGTAATGAGAATCTAGGGAAATGTTCTGAGCAGAGGATTAATAAGATCTTATTTACATTTTTTATAAGATTGCTTGCTGCTATGTGGAGAATGTTTCCTAGAGGGGAAAAGAGTGGAGGCAGGGAGATGACCCAGGGGTTCAGCAGAGGTCCAGCAGAGGTCCAGGTGGTGGTACTGGAGGTAGAAGAGCTTGTGGGCAGGAGAGAAGTCATAAATCCCACATGGGTTTCAGAGCTAGGGTTGACAGAACTCACGGATGGACTGGACAGAGAGGGAGAGGAAGAGAAAAACTCAAGACTAACTCCTAGATTGTTTTACTTGAACAACTGAATAGAAGAAGGTACCATTAATGGAGCTGAGGCTGACTGTGGAAGAGAAAGAGAGGAATCTGAAGATGATTTTACCCACGCTGAGCTCTAGATGCTAAGTAGGCCATTGGGTAGATGAGCTTGAGTTCTGGGGAGAGGCTGGGACTAGAGATGTTGATTTGAGGGTCAAGGGTGTCTGGATGGACTTAAAGCCATAAAGCTAGGTAGAGCTTTCATCATGGAAGCATGAATGATGAGAAACAGATGAGGACCAGAGCAGAGCAACTTCTAGAGAGGCAGGGAGAGACTTCAGGGAAGCAGAGGCACCCAGCAAAGTTACAAGAGAGCCAGGAGAGGATGACACCCCAAACTCTTCCAGGATATTTTGCTGCAAAGGCAAGCAAAGAAATATAGTGATAGCTAGAGGAGAATGTGGTAGATCAACTGAGAGTAGTTTTCCTAAGACAGCAGATATCAGAGTATGTTTAGATTATGCTAGGAAAGATTCAGAACAAGGGAGAATAGATCATATAGAGAGAGATGTGATTTTTAGAGAAAGGTATAAAGACCTCAAGAAGGAGGAAAAAATTAAGATCCTAAGCACAGATGGTGGTGCAGACCTTGATGGGCAGGAGTGCTTGGGCCACAGTAGCCAGAAGAAGGTGAAATGGTGATGGTGTGACCTGCCTGGTCATCTCAGCTTTCTCAGTGGAAGGTGTGGATGATATGAGAACAGACTGGTAGGAATCCTATTAATAAAACATGACATCTTGGGGCAGAAAAAAAATGCTTGATAATATTTTTAAGAATGCAACAGTGCAAAGAGATTCAAAGCAGTTATATGTAGCAAGGTGGGAGGGGAAGAACTTGATGAATTTTAAATTTAAGAAATATCTTTTTCTAAGGTACATCGAAGTAAGAAGCCTAGCATTGACTCATCACAAGAGGAATTAGTATCAACTGATGATATGAAGGAAATCTCCTGGATACAACAAAAAAGCCAAGAGGTATTTATAAAACATGGGATAGGTTTGAAATAATACTCTGTAGGTTTGCCAAATAAATTAGCTTCCTATGGAAAATCAGAAGGCAGACTAAGACACTACTTGGCAGAGCATTACATGCACAGGTGTAACTTCTCCAGAAAACAGATAAACGCCCTACACATAGATCAGTCCTTAGATCAACTTAAACGAGCTTTAAGAACTATATGCAGGCTAACATGAAACCCAGAGAAAGCGTCCCCATGAGCCAAAGCAAAGAAAGAACTGCAGTCTATCATTCTGGAGTGAGTTGTGGAAGATGCTGGTCTTAAAGGCAAGGGGTGGGCCAGGAACAGGAGGGCATGCTTCTGCTGCAGCTGTCGGGAAGGCAGCATGGGTAGTAGACTGATTAACAGCTCATGTCTGGATATGGCCCATCAATCTAGTCTCACTCAGGTTCCCAATAAAAGAGCAGACTGGTTTTCCTCTGTTTAAATATTTACTATTTAATTATTTTCTTTCCATTGGCCATGTAATTGAGATCAGTTTCAAGTTGTTTCGATGGTTGCTTACATAAGAGCAGTTAGATTTAAGCAAGCAGCAATGGTGTTATTTCAAATTTAGTTTATAAGTCTTTAGAAATTCTTTATTTCTAGCTGGACATGGTAGTGAGTGTCTGTAGTCCTAACCACTCAGGAGGAGAGGAAGGAAGAGAGAGAGGGAGGAAAGGAAGGAAGGGAGGGAGGTGAGGAGGGAAGGAAGGGAGGGAAGGGAGAGAGAGAGAAAGGGAGGGAGGGAAGGAAAAAATGAATTATTTCTGTTTGTAGAGAGGTGCTACTTAGGAGTCTTCTCCTCCCACCCCACCCCCCCATTTTTCTTGCTTTGTTAAGTGATGTGCTTGTTCCATTTCAGGCTATCAAAAAGGAAGTTAATCTGTTTTCCAAGAAAAGGAAAGAGATAAAAAGTGGAATTAAAGCTCTTGCTGCAACCGTAAGTATTGAGATTTCATATACTACTACATTTGGTCCTTGGTCTAAAACTACTTTTTGAACTGATTTTGTTCAACACAGCATGGGGAACTATACCCCTTTTCTCTCTATCTGTAAGCTCAGTTTTCTGGGGTTCTGTAACAGGGTAGAGTATTTACTATATCATGATCTGTGTAAATAATGGTTTTCTTTTCTTCCTTTCCCCAAATACCCTATCTTATTTTTTTGGCACTGATTTTTATTAAAGTTATTCATTTATATTTTAACAAGTTAAATAATGCTGAGTTACATAATTAAAAATAAATGTTTTAAAGCGTACCTGCCCTACGTCTCTTGACTCCGAATCCTGTACTCCTAAGGAGGCTGTTTTCTTTCCACTTTTTCGTTTGACTATTTACCTTCATCTTCCTAAATAGTCTTCATAATGCTGCTGCTATTTCTTGATATTTCCATTTAACACTCACTGTTGGCTTCCTGTTAAGGAAGACGAATAGTTGGGTTCTCCTATACTAACCCTGCCACTGCAGCACACATAAAAATCCATGCTTAGCTCAAGCAGCTAAGGCACCAGCCACATACACCTAAGGTGGCGGGTTCAAATCTAGCCCGGGCCCGCCAAACAACAATG